AATCTGTATCGGGTCATGTTACTAGTAGATCTGTGATCATTGTTTTGCGAGCAGCTCAGCGCATTGGCGGTCAGGCCCTTATTTGGTTGGATAACGATAAAGAAAAGGCGATAAAAGTAGATAACATAGTGGAATTTGGTAATCATCTTTTCACAGTTGCACGTCGCGTTCGTCCAGGAAGTCACACCGTTAGCATACTTACGATCAGTGATGGGTTCTTTATTATAAGCGGACTACTTGTCGGTCCACCTGAATTTATTAAAAATGGAGCGATATAATAAACATGAACATCATAAGTTATGCTTTTTAAATTGTTTTGCAAGTATTTTAGTTTTATCAATCTTCATGGTCAGACGATTATTCTGGATAGCTTTTGCGGGGCCATCAAAATTATACCGGCTACGGCCTCTGTTCACACACAAGAACGGTTGTGGCGGCGCGATCTCTGTGACGGAGGGGGGGTTGCGTCGCGCCGATCTCCCAAAAGTGGGGCGTCACATATCGGATGGTTTTTGTGCCTCACTTTGGAGCAGGACTTGTGCCGTCCCGGGCCGTTGCTACAATTGTAGATACCTTTTCGTGGCGCCTCGAAAATATGTCTTGTAACCCCTACCTCACTCGTATCTAGGCGCTTCTTGGGATCTTCGAGGCTAATCGCGGCGCGAGAACATATGTAAAGCTTCAAAAACGATAAGGCACAAGCGACCCTTGGGCTGCCGACTACCGCAGAAATTCCCGAGAAGCTCCTGGGTACGAGTGTACGAGGCGGGAACGCCAAAGGATCAGGCTGCAAGTAGACTATGACAAAAAGCCATTTAAGTTTCGGAAACCAGACTTCAAGACGCGGTTCCGGCAGAGCATCCCCTCCTTCTGGATCAATTTAAGTTTCTGAGAAACTGCCCACCTACCCCTCCGCTAAGCCAACATTTTTCCCTAAGTGAAAAGTAGGTGTTAACGTTAGCTTAGGGGAGGGGTAGGTGGGCAGTTTCCCAGAAACCTAAATCAGTTGATCCCTTCTCACTTTAGAAGCCAAAAGGAAGTTCAGCTCCCAAGGTGTTTATTGGAAGGATTCTTTTTCTGAGATCTGAATAAAATTCAACAGCACAAGAGACATGACCAATATAAATACACGCTTTATTGAATATCTTAATTAAGCAAGAACAGAGTTCCTATAAAATAGAGCCATGAAGCTCATTACTTTTTACAATGAATAGTCTCTAAATTCAATTAGAATCCAGAGAGAATTGTAAATGTACACCACCAAAGATGCTTCATAACTTAAATTGCTTTCAATTTGCTGTACAAGCTATTTTGTGTCTATCCTCTCTCCAACATCGCCGATTCTATACACAACAATTCTATATACAAGGTAAACTAACAACATCAAGTTTCAGCTACTGCGAGTTCTATGTGTAAACTTGTAAGGTTTAATCCGCTTCCAAGCCCTTTTTCATCCACAGCCAAACGAGACCCAAAGAAAAAAAAACAACTTGGAACAAACAGCATGCCAGTCTGGGCAGGTCATCTGGGAACAAATTAATTAAATTTTCTGTATAAAATATTTCGGCGACTTGTTTCTTCATAAATTAACTATTCATAATCCTGTCAACATTTCAAACAGTACAGCAGTCTTGTTGAACCAAAACAAACTTTGTCCTCACTCAACACTTATTGAAATATCTACATAAACTAACACCATCATTCTTGCAATAACATCTATTTCCTGGCAACAACCGTCACAATGTGACTTTTTGGAACCACTTCTTATCGCAGGAAGAATTTCAAAAATAGCTCCCATGCATAATTACTCCACACTAAAACTGAACTTGGCGTCCAAACCATTCGCCACTTTAAAAACCACACGGAAACTGGGGCGAGTTTACTTTCGCAAAGATTTTTGGGACTGTTCCTAGGGGAAATAATTAGCCAATAGCTGACCGGCGCTTTCCCAGAAACAAATGCGAGGCGCACTTCGGCTCCAGTTCCCTCCTCGTTTCTATAGTGGCGAATGCAGAATTGGTCCCGAGCAAACGTTTAAATTATTCAAAAACGATTTCATTTGAACTATTTACAAAACCTTTCTTCTGTTGCACTGCAACAATCATTTCTACTTGTTTATAATTGAATATCCAAAGCAAAAAATCAAATGAACTGGTTTTTTTTTAATTTCCTAGCTTCTCCTTGAAACCTAATGCTCAGCTCTGTTACATAGTTGTAACCCTCATAAACAGTTTTCTAAGACAGTGAAAAACAAAGACTATGTTACAAATTCAGAGTACGGAGTTTGTTGTTGTTTTATAAGTCGATTATGTTCGACTACCAAATACAGTAGGACTTGGTCCACATCCCATGGTATTTATTCAATTAGCCGCCCTGGGCGCTTACCAAATTTTTGGACCTTGAGTGTGGACGCTGAATCGAGGCTTGGCGCTTATTAAATTTTCACCATTTTCAGCAAGAGTGTTATGTCTATTTTGCAACAAAACAATAAAGCTAATAACAAAACGCGAAGACGTAACAAAGTAAAGGTTTCTGTAAAATATTCTGAAGAAAACCCTGTCGTTGGGGCCGAGTCTCTTATTTAATAGTACTTGTTCAATTTCAATTTAAATCTCATTGTCACTGAAGTGGGTGGGGGTGGAGTGGGGGTTTATTTGAGTTTGATTGGGAGGGGGTGGGGTTAAGGTTGGCGCTTATTTTAAAACTTTTTCTGCTTTTAGGATGGCGCTTATTCGAGGTGGACGCTAATTCGAGGTTGGGCGCTTATTCGAATAAATACGGTATTAAGTACCGAGCAGCAATATCTACTATCGAAGGACACTTTTCACAGCTTAAACTGAAGCTCCATAAATTATGGAGAACAGCACAGTGACAAATTTTTAAACTACACCCTGTTTTTCTAAAGATACTGTGACTCTTTGGGCTAGAGGGCCAGTTGGAAAATCTGGACTGGACTGGACTAGACTTTTTTTTTTAGGGGGGTAATTTTTTTTGGCGGGGAGGGGGGTGGGGTTGTATTATTTTTTCTAGTCTGAAAAAAAATCGCGTTTCTAACCTTTCCCCAACAGGCTATATTTTTTCATTTGGTTTTCATTTGGGGGGGAGGGAAGGACTTTACTTTTCTTTTAGTCTGTGTTTTAGTCTTAGATTGGTCGCTTTGTTTGACTCACGGCCGTCACGTTTCACTTGAAAGTTGAAGAAAATGGCAGGAGTGGATGTTACGACGGTGGCAAATACCCTAAAAATTATCTCGATATTTTTTGGGGTGCGTTAGGTATTAACAAAAACATGACCTGTTTCTTCTGCGTACCAACCAATCCATGGGCTGTGCTTTGTTTTCGGCATTGTTAGTTGTTGTTAAACGGAGTGGGAATTAATAAAAAATGATTTTCTTCTTCGGAGTCTAGTGCGACTCGGGCGATAGCATCAACCATCTAATATCACTCTACGCACCTGCGTACCTATTGTAGGGCACGATTGCAGGTGTTGGTGATTATCGATGACTTGTATTTTAGAATTTCATGGCGCGTTTCTACTTCATTGAAAGCAGGACAATTCGGTCGCGTACAGTGGGGTAGCTTAAAAAGCAAGAATCGGTGAAATATCCATATTCAAGCTACCCCACTGAACAGTCATGCAAGGCAGAGAAGAGGCAGACGTGACTGAAATATAAGCCTAAGCTCTATGATAGTTTTTTAGGCACGACCTGTCTACCTTCACAGGAAGGGAAAAGGTTCTTTGTTTTTAAGAAAAAATGTTACCCTCGACCCTCGACAAAAAGATAGACTACAAGAAACAGGTCATGTTTTTGTTATTACGGAACATCCACTCCTGATATTTTCTTCAACTTTCAAGTGAAACGTGACGGCCGTGATTCACCCAGTCACCCAGTCATTGAAAACGCGATCTTTTTAAAAGACTTTAAAAAATAATACAAAATAATACCAGAGGTTTTTTCTCGCAGCTTCGCTGCTCGTGTCTTCGGCCTTCGGCCGACGAAACGAGGCTCCCCGACGCACGCGAGAAAAGACCTCTGGTACCCAGAGTACCAGGTAGCAGAACCAATAACTAGTTCTAATTAATTGCCGGGTTCAAGTTTTGGAAACATTCCCGCCACCTGCTTCAACCTGTCGACCCTCTTTTAGTGTCGCCTCGTAACAACATGAAAACAACTGAAATGCTAAGACAAACATTATTAGAAAAGGCTAGAACTAACCATTATTGTAAGCTTGGCAAAACTTTTTACTGCTCCCAAATCTGCAATCCTCTATTCAAAGCTAAATAACTTAGCTTTGTGTTGACCAATAAAGCCTGATAACGCGTCTTTAATTATTACTTAACGAATTGTTAAGCTACACTTCAGCGTTTCTTATTGGTTTTGCTGCGCTGAATTCACACTTGTAGTGTGCTCTTCTGCCTTGCTTACCTTTGATGATGTCATAAAAAAACACCGCGGATATTCAGGTCAGATTAAATAACGTTTATCAGTTCTTTATCAGTCTTAATAGTTACTGTGAAACTCACAAAACCGTCAACACCAGAGATATTTATGGAATGTTGCGAGAAATAAGCCAACGAGGCGCGAGATAACGGCAATAACGGCAATAATTAGTTTGCGGTTTTGAGCTTTGCTCGCGTATCCTGAACTTTATTGTGATTGGCCAGTACACTGAAACAACATTCATGAAAGTTTTCAGGTGTTCACGGTTTTCTGAGTTTGAGAGTAATTAAATAACATGACTCTTTGAGTTTCAAGAGTCGTAAGTTCTGTAGGTACCTTTCATGCCAGTGAAGTCAGAGAAGGAGTATTCCCAAGCCAGGACAGAAATACACTCTAGGCTCTAGGTGATTTATAGTACAGCTCCGGACTAACCTCCTTCGTGTAGCGGGTGTGTAGGTCTTCTAGCTTCTCAGTTCAGTGTTCTTTTACAGAACGGCATCTCTACCCGAAATTCATTAAAAAAGCTCAAGTTTCGAGCATAAGTCTCGGTAATGGAAAA